AGAATTCCCCAGCCAATTCTGGGAGTTGAAGTCCACTCATCTTAAAGTGGCCAAGTTTGGACAACACTGGTCTAGATGCTTCATGAAGCTTACGATCTCCTTAGAAACACTCTAAGCCATGAATGGCTGACAAGGTCCACATGTGGCTCTTGGCCACAAAAAGTGTGGCCTATTATATTGCCGGATTGCCTCTCTTTGCTCATTCCCCAGCTGAACAGGTGACTGAGGAGAAGCAGAGTGCTGGGTCTTTACTGCTAACATCAGAAAACCAAGTAATCTGGTAAAGCATCTCTGAGACAGAGTGTAAAATGTATGGCTTCCATCTACTTTCTGGTGTTTCAAATTGCTGGGTCACTGAATGGGAAAGCTGGTGAACAGGGATACTTGGATGAGTGAAGAATTGTATATATAGAATCTACACAGATGCAGTCCATACCAGCACATTCATAGTAGCAGGACTGAAGTAAATCACTTCCATTCACACCCCTCAGCGTAGTCTCATGTAGCCTCTATCTCATGCAAACAGGCAGATATATACATACAGTGTAGTGCATAATTGTAATTCCCATCAGATGTCTGTTTAAGTCTTTCCAATTTATGATCTGCTCACTGGGCGTAAATTGTGTTTATATGTCAGAAACCCATTTATAAATTGATTAATTGCTCCCAGACTTGAAAGCAACCAATTTCCAAGAATCAAAGGAGTCCATATGGATCCAATCAAGAGACAATGCTGTTCTTCTCGTTTCCTAACCCTAACCCTAACCCTAACCCTAACCCTAACCCTAACCCTAACCCTAACCCAACAGACTGCCCACCAGATCTTTTAACTAAGAATTAGATGTTCCATTGAGGGCACCCAGAAACTGTAGTTTTGTCTAAAGATTTCTAAGTGGTGACAATCAAAATAGAAGTGTATTCAGCCTTTGGAATGCCTTCATGCTTTTTTCCTTAGCCCTGAAAAAATCTTTGAAAGTTAAAAGGAGAGTAGACAAGTTTTAAAATCTCATCTTTTGGTTCACTAGGTTTGTCCATCAGTTTTTTCAGAAAATACAATTTGTTCTTTCTATTTTGTAACAGTATTGATATTTTCCATTCAGCTGTACAACAAAGGACCACTAGAAAAAAATATATAGCAAGTTTAGGACAGAGAAGTGCTGGTAAAGCCCTGCAATGGTAAATACAAGAGGTAGAAGATGGATATCTTCTGTAAAAAAGGCTTGGAGAAACTGGTGTGTATATAGAATGCAGGCTTCTAGCTAGGCTACAGTATGGGTTTAAAAAAGCTCTAGGGCAAAATTATTAGAAGGGAGTCAAGCTAACTCTTGAGCCTGCAACCCACTCCTGGGCTATACATGATAGGCAATATTGAAGAGATTTGGGTACCATCAACAAACCTGGCATGAAATTATTTGAGCCTCTTGACTGATACCTAAAGAGCACAGCGTAGATCAGTTTTGGTGCCCCTGTTATCAATGGCTGTGCCTGCTCTGAACATTATTCCAAAGAGAATTTTCAGCATGTACAGCTGTATGAATGCAGAACCTTTTTATTCAATCTTCTTGCATGAAGAATGAAAGGGAAGCCTCCAGGCTAAAAAAGAAGCTAAAATGTTCCAGCTTTAGAAAGTCTTAGACAAATACTTCATATTCTTTTTTGGGGACTATACTTGCAAACATGAGTACTATTATCCAGTCCTATGTGTAACGTGAAGTGCATTGTTGTACAGCTATTATACTTTATGAGTTTGTTCACTTAACAGGCAAATGTCTACTCATGATTTGTTGAAGTCTGGGTTTGCATTACACATTAAATCATCATAAATCATGGTTCACAAATTACAATGGCTGAGTTCACACACAACCCATCTGCAAGTAAGCAGATAAGATTATGGGTGTGCTGAGCATGTTGTAGGACTCAGGTTCACGTTGTTGTTCCAAGAGGAAATTATTATTATATCTGCATTATAAAACACAGCTTTACAAGTCTACTGGTAAGACAGGAGTGGTGCTTTCATTTTAAAATGGTCAGAATTGCTCAGGATAGATGAATCATATGGTGGGAGTAGAAACCCATTTTAGCTGAGTGAAGCCCAAGGACTACAGAACAAAAATAAGTGGAGTCAAAAGCAAAGTTGGCAGGCCACCCCATTGTCTCTTATATATACATAGAACACATAAATGCATCTATAACACATGTGCACACAAACATATTCTTACACATAGTGCCCACCTACAAATTCATTTATACACAGAGCCATTATCATACATAACACATACCCATGAACATGTTTTCTCACCCACACATATAACATAACATCTATAAGTCAGAAACAGGCCAGAGTTTCTCACTCCTGATTCTGGGTAAGTGCAGGACCTAGAGCTGAGGATAAGAGTTGAATCACACTGAGAAAATAGCTTAAGAAACACTGTATCATATCTAAGAAAATAAGGAGAAAGAGAAGAAAAGGAAGAATAGATGATCTCAGACTGCTGCTTCACAGGTATGGAGGTGGGAACATATACTATGACAATAAGAGTGGCAAAGCATGCTTACTTCTCCATGCTTATTGTATCTGCAGACTCATATCCATCGACTCATGCCCACTTCCTTCTGGGGAAGTATGCAGGGGAACATCCTCCAGTAGGCCACTGTGACAGATTTATGAGCTTCTTTACAGACAAAATTGGTTATAGTTTCTTGGAGTTGGATATCCCTTGGGCAGAGCCTAGTGAGATGACTCAGATAGCAATTTGCAAGACTATCTGGGATTATTCTGAGTTTATGGAGAGGAAGGATGTAACTTGGGGTCTCTGTGGCATACCTGTAGGCTGGATCCATGCCCCACCTGGTTCATTCAAACTCAGGAATGTGTGGCTGGATTAACAAGATGCCATTGGTTGCTCTGATTGATGACCTCTAACAGGACTTGGAGGGAGGGAGTATGCTACTCCTGGGCCTATTAGACCTCTTGGTGATTTTCAGTACTGTGGTACTCTATTATATCCTTCTGGACTACCTTTGTCACAACTGCTTCCTGCAGTTTCTCAGGATTTCAAGAAACCCTGCAGAACGCCATTTCACGTTTTCCCTTTATTCAAACAACCAAGCAAGCAACTAGCAATTTCCCAGCTGCATTCCTTAGCAGAGCTAGCAAGGTTTTCTACAGCTAGAGATGTTGAGCTCCCCTGCTTGCTTCTCTCCATTTCCAGATAAGGCAGAGCTGCTTGTGATTCTAAACTGCAGACTGACTGAACTTTTGCCTCTTTACTTAATATTATGTAGCATAAATATTTGATAGCTGTATATGTATACACTCTGTAATGTTGACTTAATACATATGTGCATGACTCTGTTTCCACACCCTACCAACTTCTTAATTTAGAGTTAAAGAAGGGCTTCCAGACATAGGTGGCAATTTTCCCTCTGTGAATCAGGTTGGCAAGTGGCTTTTCTTTGGTTGGTGAAACCTTTGCTCTTCCATCTTTTTCAACCCCCACCAGGGCCATCTGCAATGGATAGACAGGTCCCATGGTATGTCTTCCTCTTCCTCTTTGACAATATTTGGCAATTCTCCTTCACTTCATAGACTTCAGGCCACTCTCCAACTAGTAAGCCTTCAGCAGTAGCAACTTTGCTCAATCCAAGTCTGTCAGTTTTTAAAGAAAACCATAGATCTTTAACAGTCAGAGCTGTCTACGTCCATCTTAGTCACCAGCCATTACCTACATTCTCCCGGTTCTCCTTCCAGAATCATCTGGTAATTTAAGACTCTACCTCTAGTGCCAGCTCCACATCTGAAGCCCCCCCCCCCATGAGAATGTTTTGTATGAGAAACTCAGCTATGCACTACTCTCAGCTAATCCTTATCACCCAAACTACTATGAAACATATGTTCTATATGGATACAAGAAGAGCCAGTAGGAAGTCATGGCTGAATGCAGGCTGTCACAGCCTGCCGGACTGGGGACTAGAGGCACTTAGTGGGCAGTTTTCATTTGTGTGCATAGGAGTGCAACAGTCATATCTGTACTTGCTCCGACAGTGGGGTGTCACTGGGTTCTGTTCTCCTCCCATGGTATTTAGTATCTGTATGAATCAGTGGGGGTTTTACATCCAATTTAGTTTGAAATATAATCATTGTGCTGATGATACTAAGCTGTAATTGCATTTCCAGGCTGGGGTGGGGCTGCAATCAAAATCCTGGCTTGATGCCTGGAGGCTGTGACAATGTGAATGAGTCAAAATTCAAATTAAATCCTAGCAAGACAGAGTTGCTATTCTCAGTGCCTGACCTACATAGCTCAATTCTGGTTCCACCATTGGCTCCAGATAGGGTTGCACTTCTCCTGAAGAAGCAGGTTCCTAGATTTGGGGGTCCTCTGGGACTCGTGGCTCTTGCTAGAGGAACAGGTAGATGCTGTGGCCAGGAGGCCTCTGCCCAATTTCAGCTGGTATAACAATTGCAAGCCTTTCTAGACTGGGAGGCCCTAACAATAGTGACTCATCACTGCATAGTTATACTACTGCAACACACTCTATATGATCACCTTGCAGAAAATTCAGAAGCTACAGTTGGTCCAGAATATGATGGTACATCTGCTAAAAAGTAAGTATTAAGGGATTTAGCAGGGATACACCAATTCTACTATCACTGCATTGGTTACCAATTTACTTCGGCTTTCAATAAAGCTCTACGTGGCTTGGCCCCTCGGTGCTTACAGTTGTGACTGTCTTCCCCGAAAGATCATGACCCGTCCCATGCATGCTTTCAGGAGGAGATGCTAAGGGTCTCTGTCCCATATGAAATGAAGATACTGGTGTGTGTGTGTGTGTATGACAACACTCTTTTGGTGGCTGCACCCACATTTTGAAATACCTTGCCTTCTAATGTCTGTGGAGCACCTAAGTTTGCAGCCTATAAGAAGGCACTTGAGACATTTTTATTTTGCAAGGTATTTGGGTCACAATCACGACAGGATGCTTTTAGTTTATGTAACTGGAGTATTATTTATAACTTTTCTTTATTGTTTTTAAGCTGCCTTGGATCCTGTGAAATAGGTGGTATAGACATTTTTGTATGAATAAATAAAGTTAGCTGGATAGAGAAAACAACAAGGAGGAGAAGCATCTGGAATTGATGGAACAGAATAGATTGAGACCGAGCTGAACATTCAGAAATCAGCAGAGCAGATGTGCTGCTTTGTTGAGCACTCATTAGTTTTTTTTTTAATGTATCGTAGCCATTCTAGAAGGAATTTACTATCTTCAGACGGGATAATTGGTTATCCCCCACCCTGCCCCAGTTTTTATTCTGCCAACAACACAATAAGTAAGGTAGGTTAGTTAGAGAGAATAACTAGCTCAAGGGCACCTACTTATTTTAATAGCTGAACAGAGATATTAATGCAGCTGTCATAGCCTAAATTCCAGCGTTCAGATACTACACCTCACTACTTCACCAGTCATAGCTTTGTGTGGCTCACCAGGATCAGATATATTTAGGTCCTAATCCCAGTTGATCCATTCATGTTCATTTCATTTAAGGTTTTTCTGGATGTCGTTCCAGACTTTCAGATCTGAAAGAAACTGCCTTCGGACAGTTTTTTCATACAGGGTATGTAAATGTAGGCTTTCAGGCTTTGACAGGAAAAAAAAACATTGAAAATAGTGGCATCTACTATGAATTCCAGTTAGCAGTGAAGCTGCAGACTAGTTAAATTTACAGTGGAGACCCTGACCGGTGTTACTATTTTTGGAGGACTTCAATTGCGGTCTCTTTGATCAGCACTTTTTGATTGACATTCATTCTTCTTTCTGCAATGAGGAAACCCGAAGTTGTGAAAACATAGGCCTCTCCAAATAATATCCTGCACTTCTTATCCAATTTATATACAGTATGTGTTTTGGCACAATTTGAAATCTGGTTTCCATTTTAAAAGCTATTCCCAAATTTGTTTCAGCAGTTTCCTTCTCTGGTGATCTAACCTTTCCTCCTTTAAATGCTTTAAATTCTTTTACATACCAAATAGCCAATTACTATGTTTTGCTAGAGATTTTAGCTCTTAGGATGGGCTGGATTCCCATTAAAAGAAAGAGGCTTCTTTTTTTCTCCAAGATCTGTGCTACATGTATCATATACATCAGTGTAGTCCTAATCTCTAAGCAGCTGGAAGAGGAACAACTGTGCACGTGATGCATCAAATCAATGAAATTGTAGCCCCTTAGAAGCTGATCAAAGTCCTTTTTAATGCCCATTTGATTTGCATCAGTTAAATATAATCATTTCTTCCCTTCCACCTGCTTTGCTGTCCCTGTCATCCAGGAAAGGGATAGATCATACAATTAGGTACATTAATTTTCTCTACCCTGAATTAACTTATATTAAAGTTGTCCATTGAAAATTTTCCTTTGGCTTCTTTGAATTCAGCCTACAGTTTCCATATTAATTATTCTAGGAAACTGGGGCAGCAGTTGATGATGAAATAAATGTTCAAATGGGAAAGAACACAAATGCCTTTCCATTCTGAGTGGTCTCCTATGTATGTCCTTTTCAGTAATAATCATACGATTCATCACTCTCCCAGTCATCATTTGATCCAAAGTTGGGCCCCTTGGGCAGAGCCAATGAGGTTAAATTCAGCTGATCTGCAAGTATAGGACACAAGGCATATGGTTACCATCTGAAATGAGTTATTGTCCTCCTTTATCTATTGCTTTATCTTTAGCTTGTTGGCTAAAATAACTACATTTTGAAATGATGATGTATAGTCAGTTGTGTTAACTAGATAATGGATGCTGTCTATGCATTTTACAATCTTTCAAAGTAGTCATAACTGTCAAACAATTCGTCAGACAATTAGCATGTTTATTGTAGATGTTTCAAATACTTTGCATTGACCATGCTAGTGGATCTGATAGAAGCTGAATTCCAAAACATCTGGAGGAAATCAGATCATCTACCCTTTTGCTAAGAACAGGACAAAGGCTGCTATTTTGATGGCAAGGCCATGCATTTACAATACACTATTCGAAATGCAGAAGATTGAAGAAATGCAATTCCATTTCTTTAGAAAACAGTATTCATATTTTCATACCAGCAGCATTTTATGGGGCACAGAGAGTAAATACTTTACTTGGTGAAATTAGAAAAGGAATTTCAAATTTTCAATTTTCTAAATTCAATCACTATGGAATCACAAGATATATAAAATAAAGAGTAATGGCTAGGTAGATATTAACAGCTGTCTGAATATGGAAGAAATGTGTGGGTACTGGTGAACACAAGAGAAAAACAACTATTGGAACAAATAATTTGACTAAAGAAATAAGTCTCTACTTACCAGGAGTGAGGACCATAAGGCTGGCAGGAGCTGCTACTTGCCCAATGTTGTTCCTTGCATAGCATTGATATGTTCCTTCATCAGTCAACCGCACAGCTTGGATCTGAAGCCAACTGGTCACCTCATACTTCTGAGGACCGCCCCTAAACTACAGTTAATTACATATTAACAAGGTAGCAATTAAAATGTAAGACACATTTTAAATCTCTAAATTTCCTTTGGGGAAAAGTCTTTTAAAAGACTTTACTCTGAAGTTTGTTTGTTTATTTATGACTCTCCTCCCATTTTTTTCCATGACCACAACCATCATGAGAGGTACGTTAGGCTGAGAGTAAGTAGCCCAAAGTCACCCAGTGAGCTTCCATGGGTGAAAATGGACTACAACTACCCTGTACTGGCTCTGGTATATAGGATCTTCAGCTTAATGAATACATATTAGAACAATTAAATATACAGTGGTGTCAAGTCTTAAACAACAAATTAAAACTTGACCATACAGAATCATATTGATTCATTTCCCCATGGCCAGTAGAAAATCAATTCATATGTAGAAAATATAAGGTTATCTTCCATTTTGGATTTTAAGTTGGGTACACTAGAATCTTTCCACTAGAACAGAATAATCTTAGCTGCTTCCCATGCATAATAAATCCAAACTTCCAAATTTTTTTGGAACATAATTCAACACCATATTCACACCTTTCACTCATTTCTTTTCTGAGCACTCTATTTACCACCTTGTAAACATTAAATCAACACAATGTTAATGTAGAACAGGCCCAAAACATGCTTCCAACATACAGAAATTGAAAACAATCCTTACTATACATCTTCTGAGGGGTTCAATACATTTTAAAAAGTATTTTGTTGAATTAATCCCATTGTTACGTCATACAATGCTAATTTATTATTATTTAAAATTCTAACCATTGATCTATTAAGATATTCCAATTCATTCTTCTGGGTGCAATTCAAGGTTGTCAACTTTAAAGCCATACATGGCTTAGGATCTGGGTATTTGTGAAACCACCAGTTCTCTCATCTACTCAACTGATGAGATCACGGAGCAAAGGCTTGCTGAGAATCCCTTCACCAATGGAGTATCGCCTGCAGGAACCCCATTGTCAAAATTTTTTGGTGATAGCCCCCCTCTTCTTGAACAGGCTACCTCATGTATTGGACCTACCTCATGTATTGGACCAGCTATGAAAACACACCACTTTCAGAGGGCATTTGGGGTAACATGAAAGATTATCAATTTGTAGAGCCACTGGGCTGGACCTTATTAGCTGTATAGTGTTTCTTTCTATTGCTTTTAACCTACTTTGTATTTGGTTATTATAAACCACTCAGAGTCTCTGGATTGGAGTGACGCCTAAATGCCAGAAGACGAAGTAGTAAACACAAATTACTTGCAAGTTGCGCATATCTAACTTCATATAACTTTTCAATAGTGAATTTAAAAATAATTTAATTTTTTAATTTGTTAAATGTTTTCCTTTACTTTTCCTATGCTTTAATTATTTTTTGGTTTATCTTCTTTTGCTTCTTTGTAATATTTTTGTTCTTGATTATTTTTTTCTTCTGTTACACATTAAAAAGCAATTGTGTGTGTGTGTATGTGTGTATTTTCACGGAAAGCTATAGGGATAGTCTACATGTAACACGAATCGTTTACTGGTTAATATTCTAAGATATAGTTCATCTAGGATTAAATATTGGTTTGAGCATAGCTCCCTGAATCATACTGTTTTACACAATCACATCTATTCATTAATGCAAATACATGCCTTTAATCAGTATGTCTCCAAAATATACATTTGACATTTTTTAAGTTTAGAAAGCTGCAAATCTAGAACACCAAACATGTTACCTGCTGTTTGGAAGGCAAATTATGCTGAGCATTTTATCTGAGAAAGGCTCCATAATCTTCCTACACAGCAGGTATCCATTTAGAAGATTTATATAGCCACCCAACTTGTGTAACTGCAACTGTGTGTAGCATACATCAAATAAAAATCCCCCAAACAATATTGCAAAAAAAAGCCTTACCACATCAACAAGAAATCGATAAACCAACATATCAAATAACATAGCCAGGGCTTACCTATCATACACCTCACCTCCCAGAAGATGGGTTCATCTATCGCTTTGGACTAACACTTGGGGAAAAAGCCAAGTTTTTAAAGCTTTCCTCCAGGCTAAGTGGACTGGAACTATCTGAATCTCAGGGGGAGATTGGTCCAAAGGGCAGGCACCACAATAGAAAAATATGTTTAGCTGTTCAGTTCATGGACAAGTGTTTAACACTGCACTTTGAAATTTGTCCTCTTAGATTTTTCAGCCCTTCTCTCTTTTCTTATTCCCAGCTCATCTGATCATCTCCATATATATATTTGGAAATGGTTGGATTCCATCCTATCTTTGACTTTTCCTTTAGCCTAAGATTCCAAAGCACATAATGCATGTGGAGCTTTAAGGTTTTTCAAAGAAGCATACATCTAATTCTATATGCACACACTTGACACAATGCATATGTATTTTGTACTTGGGCATGTGCTAGACATCTCAGCCTGATGTAAAATACCAATCTATGTTGCTGTTCTTTCCATAAGGGAAAATAATCTAAATTCTTTGCAGATGTAACAAGCAGTAGTATATGCTCTCTCTCTCCCTTTAAAGCCTAAATTGAGGAGGTTTGGAAGTTGCCCACATACTGTCTTCATTTCTTAGCCTTCTCTGTAAACAGGATACATGGAGTCCATGTCTCTATGTGATTGCCTATAACCAGGTTTTTCCTTTCACTGTCAGCCCAGAGCGCTGAACTGCATCCAAAAAGGGATGTTGCATAATCAATGGACTGATTAAAAAAACTGCCTTGGAATAGCCAGTTACTTATCTAACAGCATTGCAAAATTGAAAAGATTCTAAAATGTGTGATGTTTTGGCAGGGGCTGGACTAGAAGAAAGGAAAAAGGGTGGACTATAGAATCAGGAGGGAAGAGAGCACATAAATAGCTGTATATACACAAGGATCCACAATTTCACTCCAAATTGCTAGAAATCTCATCTATATCTCCTAATATTTTGGAGTGATATTATATTGTGGAGTGTTATTAGACTGATCAGGCAGTTCAAAATTTATATTTTATTTGGTGGACTTAAATCCCACATTTTCTGCAGGAATTCAGTCTCCCTTCATGTTACAGCAACAATTCTGTAAAGCAAATTGCTTCAAAAGTAAGTGACTGGCCCAAATTCAACCACTGGGAGTGGACTCAGAATCATGGAATTGGAAAGGGTCATCTAGGCCTTTGAGTGGCCTAGTGCTTAGTGCATAAATCCAAATTAAAACAGCCTTGATGGATGGCTACTGAGTCTTGGTTCAACCACTTTCAGTGAAGGGAAGCCAACTTGGTTTGACTGTAAAATTAGGAAATTTTTCTTAGAATTCAGCTGGAATCTATTTTTCTGTAACTTACATTCATTATTCTGTGTCTTGAACTCTGGAGCAATGGAGAAAAGGTATTGCCCTTTTCTGTGTGACTTTCTACCAGATATTTAAAGAGTGTTATCCCCCATCTATTTTCTCTTGTTATGCCGAGCTCCTTCACTCTCATTTCATAGGTTTTAGTTTATAATATCCTAATCATCCTCACTGCCCTTCTCTGAATTTGTTCCTATTTCTCTGAATCCTGAAGTGTGATGCCCAGATCTGGACATAGTACAAAGTGAAATATGATCCAAACAGAATAAAATGGAACCAAGTTGCATTTTCCATTTTTACAGCCACATCACACTGTTGATTCATATTCAGTTTTCCATGAGCTTTTCCTACCATGAAATTCTACTTATATTCACTCATATTAAAATCTATTTTTGTGAGAACCAAGATATATGCTTGACTGCACTCAGACTTGGTTTCCCTTAAAATCAAGAACTCCAGCAATGCCTGATCACTTTCTAACAATGTCATTTCACTCAAGCAATCCATCTTCATCTTGTTAACACAGGCCATGGTTCCAGAATCCAACTTCTGTCAACACCTTTTGTGTAGCCAGTGACTGATCTGCAGAAAAGGATGTTCTGGCCCATTTCCATGGATGAAGGATGGATGAAAATACTGCCTGAGCCCCCCAAGTCTTGACATTTTTTCTAAGATTTCTAAAGTATATGATGATCTGTCCTACAAGTATCAGCAGGAACCAATAAATATTAGATTTGATAAGCCTAGGAAATTGTTCCACCATATCCCTAAGGTTTGCTCCTAGCAATCAGTACACTTCATAAGCTAATGTGTCTGGTAAACATACACTTGTTTCGGTTCCTCATAGCTAAGAGTTACCAATTACCATGACTCCTCTTTGTCACTGTTGCATTTCCCTCTGCTTTTAGGAATCAATTGTCCTGTCTTCCATCCTGCACTGTCTCTTCCTCTGAACGTTCTGAGCCTGTTTCAGCTGCAAAAGCCTGAAAACTGTTTCTGAGTACATGGTACACAATATCTTCTTTGTCTCTTGATTCTGGGTGTTATTTTCATTCACTAGGTTTGCTCCTATCTAGGCCTCACGAATGGCTATGGTTATCTGGCTTGAATAGCAATGAACATGTCAGGCTTATCTCAAAATAATGAATCCAGTCCAAGATCATACTACATCTTACTAGCAAACTGTGCACAAGGAAAAAAAACAGCAAAGCTATGAATCAAATAAACGAAATCAAATTTCCAGGAAAAAGCCTGCTCGTGAGGAGACACTGCAGCAGGAATTTCATGAGGCCTTCACAAGATAGTATTGTTCCAGTGACCTTAAAAGCCCATGATAGCAGCTGCTTCTAGTCCTGCTTGAGCATAGCTGGCCCTCATCAGATTTGGCTTCCCCAGCAGACTACTCCTGAGTAACCCTACCAAGTCCTGCTGTGTCTCTGTGTAGTTCAGCTCTCCTATTCTCTCTGCCTGTTGCTGCTCACTTCTCAAATGCTGGTCTGCTTGAGGCTAGACGGAGGAAGTTCCAGGTTTGGGTCAAAGTCTGTAGTGTTCATTTTAGGAATGTTGGGGCCAGTGGTAGCTCAGTTCCATGATGCCTGGCAACATAGTTTTCTGGCAATGGTTCCTCATCTGAGGAGGGATCTTAAAACCATACCGTAACAGCGTCTTAGGTGGAGTTTCTTCCTTATAGAGCATTGATTCTATAGTCAGTTTCCACTGTAGTGCTTCTTCACTGTGATCTGATAAATCCTCTCTCATCAGCTGGAGTGCCCCATTATTGCTCCAATCCTTTCACTTTTTCTTCAAGGAGTATACAAGTTTGCACCTGCTGTGAATATATGCCAAGTTGCTCTCAGACAGGAACACAAATATGCCACAGGCGTTCCAGCTCATGACTACAGACTCCTATCCATTCATCTTTACCTTTGTTTTTTTGGACAGCACTAGCAGACATGTTTTTATATCCTCCTGTGTCTTTTTCTGGTTCTCAGGTTAGCTTAAGTACAAGTTTTCAACCTCTAGGGAAAATTGGTTAGAAACTTTCCAGTAAACTCTTCTACCAAACTCCACTAGCAAATTCCTATTAGCAAGAGTCAAAACCTTTGACTTACTGAATGAGTCAGATTTAACATATATACATGAATCAGTAAAATAGCATGATCAAGTTTGCATTACCTGATGCCTTTTTTTCACTGCAGCTATACAAAATCTGGCTACGGTGTGGGTAATAAGCTATTTCCTTTTAGAAAGTAACAGCCTGACATAAAATTCATTCATTCTGCCTGGGTATTGGCATAAGCATACTCCATAGCATAAATTTTATGGAGACCCCTATAAAAGGTGTAGTATGTTGTATTGTTTTAGTCTCCAGGTTCAAATGGGCATGTGCACTCAGCTAAAGGGATTCTGCCCTACAGAAGTACAAAAGAAAGAACACTGTGCCCCATTCAGTATGATCCAGGTCCAACATTTTAACTACTTCACCATACTGGCAAAGATCTTTACCTTCACATAAAAACAGTTCCAAGCCACTGTGTCCCTTGACACTGCTCATACCTCTTTACCTTCTCCATCTGTCTGTTGGATTAATGTCTCTAGGTGGGGAGACTTCATATGTACAATTGCAGGTGTGAAGATTTATATACATGCAAGAAGCACAATTATGCAAAAAATTTGCACGAGGACAATGATAAATATATAATGATAGAGATGGGACTGCTTGTATGTGAAAGTAAAATCTTTTTGTAAAGCCCAAAGAGCCCATATACCTATACCGTTGTTCTTTTTGCTACACTTCACTTTAAGATAAATGTATGCAGGATTACACTCTTAAAATTCCACTGTTTTCTAAACAGTCTCCAGATCCCACGCTGCATGCAGATTTAGCAATGCATTAGGACCTTGGTAATCTTGTTTAATATCTATCCTTCCATTAAACATTTTTGATGCAACATATTCTCTAGAATTACATCCAAACTATTTTTAATTAACTCCCAGCAATGGAGTTTCTCTCTGGAGATTTTTCCATTGTTTTAGCTTTTTCTTGTAGGAAAGCAATTCCTGGTTCCAGCTTAATTTATTCAATTATGTTTCCCTCATCTGCTTTCATGGACCAGTGTCATTGTACTTATGGCACTGACTGCCAAAGGGGTAGCTGAAGTTTGATGCAACAGTGCAAGCAACAAAAATGTCTCTTATTCTAAATGATAGATGCTATCACAGGCATTATCCTACTTTCTCCCTTGCCATAACATGGTGTTATCCCAGCCCCCTAATCTGACTGTGACTTGACATATGCTTCTGCCCCACCCAAACATTCCATATAATAGTACAAATTTCAGTTTCCATAAATAATTCCTAGGATTTCCTCACACACCCTCTAAATGGAAGGGTGTAACAGTAAGTGTTTTGCAGCCCTTTAAGTTCTATTTTAGGCTGGCTTTCCAACCTTGTTAACATCTGTGAAGATCACTTGGTGTATCTTCCATGTTAAGAACATTCACAGTGCACACAATATTTCCAACCGCTACTGCAAATGTGTGTGATTGTACCCAGCAGGAGAACAAGCAATAAAAATGGAATGATAATTAAAGCTTGCAGTAAGAAAAACAAAATGAAAGCGGGGGACAGGTTCATGGGTTAACTGTATTTTTAGCAGCGCCAAAAAAACACAGAAGGTTATCTGAAGAAATCTGCACACATCAAAAACTAGCTCTCAGTTAGAAATACAACAGTTCATCTTTTGTTAAGCAAGCAGAAAATCTAAATCAGCAATATATAGGATGGACGATCTGAAGAACTTTGAGAGCCAGTGTGATGTCTTCATTAAAGTTTTCATCTAGGAGATTCAGGTTCAAGTCCACCTTCAATCATGGAAGCTCAGTTGATGACTTGGACCTGCCCCTCCCTCTCAGCCAAACTTCACTCACAATGTTGTTGGGGAAAAAAAATAAGTCAGTACTGCATATGCCATCTTGAGCTTCTAGAGGAAAAGTGGAACAAAATAATTAAATATGAATAGAGACACTTTCTAAAGAGAGATATATTAGGATCATATACAAAGAGCTAAAGGGAGGACCACGTTGCCCATATACACAAATAACCACTATCCTGTGGGCACAGGATTACCTGAACTGAAATGTGGGGGTCATCTCCAGGAAGCAGCATATCCAGACCCTCCTTCCTCCATTCAATAGATGCCATGGGATATGCAAAGACCTCACAGCCAAAGATCACATCTTGCCCAGTGATGTTCCAGATATCATAGGGAGGAGATATAATGCGGGGCTCTAGGAAAGGCCAAAAAAGATCTGAGAAGCCAAGAATCTCTAGATCATTTGTCCATGAAGATACTATTTATCTTTTCTGCTAAATTTTAGAGATGATGATTCCTACAAGTTATCATTTAGTACATATTTCAAGATATCTTTTAATCATGTGATTAAATCAATCTTACCTTTTGATAGTAAGCTTGTAGGCACGGCCTGTCTTATTTTTATTTTTTCTGCAACATCTAAACTTTTAATAGTGGTAATAACAATAACTATTCAGCACATTATTAATCACAACTGGCATGGGCTCAGGACCAGGTTACTTGCAGGACCATCTCCCCTTAGTTGTATCTACCTGTCCTGTGAGGTCCAACAGGAGAGGCATGCTCTAGGTCCCATCTACCAGTATCATCTGGTGGGGCCTGAGGAAAGCCTTTTCTGTTGTAGCACCTGCCCTCTCGAACATCATTCCCCTGGAGATTAGGCTTCCTCTGACCCTAGTGGCTTTCAGCACGGCCTTAAAAACCTGGCTTTGTTGCCGAGCTTGGGGCCCAGGCTGTGTGGCGGGGCCCGTATTGTGGTTATATTATGTTTGTTGGGTTTTTTTAATCTCAGCTCCTATGTTTGTTATTCATTGTTTTCGTGGTCTTTTTATCTTTTTATTTTTTGTTAGCCGCCTAGAGTCATATGTTTGAGATGGGCGGCCATATAAACAGAATAAATAAATAAATAAACTATTGCACTATACTCTCTATTCCTTTTCAGCGGAAAACCTTTTATGATTGAGCTAAATAGTCCTCCTTTGCCAGGGCCATCAGCAGCTGTTAGTTAAGAATGTATTTGCATCAGCATGGCACATCTGTGAACCAGGGCCCTTGGCCCCTAAACGGTGGTCCGGTGCTTTGTCGCAGTCGTTTAAATGAAATGCTTTCTAGGGATGTTGCTGCTGCCTCCTGTTGCTGGGGAAACATGACAGCTTGGTGGCAGCTGCTAATCAGCTTGCTTTATTGTCAAATGCTTGGATTTGACTTTAAGCTTCCCAGCTACTCACTTTTCCTCTTGTTTTAAGGTTTGGTGTCTGGGGAGAGACTATAGCTGGTTGGTAGGTAGAGCACAAGCTTTGCATACAGAATTACTTTTGTTCAAGCTCTGGCACCTCCTGTTTTGTTTGGATTTTTACAAGGATCAGTAGCAAACAATGAGATAGATTTCTATCTGAGCATGTGCTGCCAGTTAGACATTAGATGCCAGGATGGATGAATAATTTATGTTTTATTAGAAAGCAGCTTCTTATCTTTCAGTGGTATTTTCCAAATAATGTAGCATTGTGAGGCCAAACATTAGAAACGTCCATCTCTTCCAGTGTTACAATCCTGCCTCTCCACACTCTTTTCTGTTTCTCCACAACCAGCCTAAATTTACTTTCTGTTACCACCACCAACATGGAATCTGAATTTATCCTTCTGATTCAGGATATCTCCTTTCCTTGGGATGGTGAGATCAAATTAGAGATTGTTCCAAACAGCACTTGCATATCTATTCCCTGTTTATTAACAGTTTGCAATAGTGTCATCACAGTGTCTCATGAGATTTTGTATGCACTTTGTATCATGCTGGGTGAGAAGAAATGGGATATTAAGCCACAAGGTAACTTAACTTGTACCAGTTATTAGAGAAGAGATATTTAATATGTAAGAGCCGTTTTAGTAGTAGACATTTAGATCAACATCCAGTCTGGCTTGATTCGTCAAGTTCTGCTATACTATGAATTCCTAGACAATATATCAGTGCAGATCAATGTATATGCCAGATGATCTCCCTAATACGATGTTTTGTTTGTTATACATGAAATCTTTCTAGCACTTACCTTGACTCCAGCAATTACTCTTATGTACAGTTGCTTGGGATCCACTAGAAAGTAACACTCTGTCATGATAGAATTCCAGATACTCAGGTCCATCTTAATGCTGATTATGATGAATTATCCATTAAGATAATTATCCGTTATAATAGATGCCACACTGACTGTGTACTGTTAAGAAATATATTCAGTCTTGTAGAGAGATGGTAGGCAAATGGCAGTGCATGCAGAAAACCCCTGTTTCAATCTCTGGTACCAGAGTTAAAGGACTAGATAGCAGATTATGTGAAAAACATTTATTGCCTCTGAGAACCTGCAAAATGACTAAAACCAAAAATCAATTTCTCTTTTATCTGCTTTAAAACTGTCAGATTATTTACTTCACCAGACATTCTTTGTTTTGAGAATGTAAGAACATAGAAATCATTGCTTCCCATTTATTTTCTTTTCAAAATATTAGGAATCAGTCATTTCTGGACCCCCATGGAAATTGGGGTGCATCTTACCTGCTTCACAGGGTCCTTCGTGAGCTATAGTGAGATTAGCCTCTGGGTTGGAATTAAACACCTCTTGGAATTTGCAGATCTGAGCATACGTTTTGCCATCGGAGCCACAAAGAGCTCGATTAGATAAACACGTGCACTGGGGCTCAGGCACTTCACCGTGCTGCAGGTCTTCTAAATCGAGACGACACTCTAAGTGATCCCCACACTTGCCGTAGAAGTGGTTGGTGTGGTCCAGGTCACAGATCTGTCCCTCTAGATTTGCACATTCCCAACAGCAGTCGCAGGCATCCAGCACCACTCCAGCCAGGCACCCACGAGGGGTGGTGCATTCTTCCAATCTACATTCCACACAACTCTCCCCTTCCTCTAGAAGCCTCTGCCAGCCACGCTGCAAATAGTCAGGGCCGGTGGGCGGTGCTGAGACAAGTACCTCCCAGCAGAGAAATAGCATAAGAAAGGTGACCTGTGCAGAAGCTAAGGTAGCAGGCTGAGGCATCCTCACTAGTTCACTGGAACCTGGCACCTGTTTGTCACCCTTGCTTGTCACCATTCCTGGGGCAATGGAGTAGCATTCACTACTGGCTCCTTCTCAAAACCACGAAGTCACCACTGCCTGCAAAAAAGGGGAATGAATCCAGATGCAGTAATGGTTTCATGTAGCATTTACTGTAAATGAATGCTTGAACTGGAACATTTTGAGAAAAAAGCTTTCCATGACTCCCATTGACAATCTAAACCCTTTATTGTGATTTTTCTTGGACCAGGATGAAAGGCTGACCCTTCTCAGTGTAAGTAGCTCTCAGGAAAATTACACTGTCCAGACAGCATTTTAGTCTTTAGATCAATCAATGAGGGAGGCAGGTACACCTCCCATCCAGGTTGCTGCATAATGATGGGGACACAACAGCAAAAGGCCTTGTCACTTATGCCTGAGAGTCTGATGAGGCCTACTGCAGACTCTTGAGTAGGGTCACTGGGGCTCCAGTTTCATACCAATGTCAGCACATGAATGATGAACATAAGACACAGAAATGTTTGTGATAATTTTTCTGTTCTGTTTATTTTATTATTTTTATTCTACTTTATTTTGTATAGCCTGTGCCATATTAAATTCAAGTTGACCATAACAGGCCATAGGTAGAGATTCAAGTAAGGGAATCTAAAGCAAGGCACAGAATCATTGCAGAGCCCTCAGAACTTAAGCACAGTAGCACACTTACATAGGAATATCGTTTTTATTGTATCACTTCTAAGCAAGTAGTTGGTAAAATATAGCCAATATGCATCTATTTATATTTCTTCAAGTAAGTAAAAGGATTGGAGGTTTACTGCTTGAATGATAGCTGATCAGCAAGGAGGTCAAATGCCCATAGCCCCTCTTCATCTCTGACACTAAATGATTTGAAGGAAACTCTTTCAGGTTCAAAACTTATCAGCTATTGTATATTGTTCTCATGTACCTGATGTGGAAATGGACAAGATCACCTTTTGTAGATCCCTTAATATGGGCCTTTAAAAAGTCAGCTGTATTGTTTTGTATGTCAGAACAGGCAGGTGGCCCTAACATTTTTTTCTATCAATGAGAGTTGTGCAAATTCAATTTTATGGTTTTGCTGTTGCTAAACTGGAGGGTGAGCTTGTGCCATAAGCAAATGATGAAAAATAACTATTTTTGGAAATCTGCTTTTGAATCCACTACCAAAAAATGGTTAAACTTAAAATAAAATTTTTAATACTTTAATATGTATTCACATGTAAACTAGAAAAATAATATAAAGAATAAATGTCATACACAAAACATGCAATAGAAGACCTTCTTGAAAGTTTGCAAACTGCACTTTAATTGTATAAACAAATTAATATTTTGTAAGCCTTTTTCTGGAACAAAATGCTTCTTCAGCATCTTGGATTAATTACATTTGATGTAACCATTTCTGCTAAATATGTCCTTTCTCACGGGGGACACACTTTTTCTTAGAAAACCTAGAAGACTTCTTTATTTTTTTATTATGCAGTATGATTGGTACATGATGTGTGTTTTTAATGGAAAAGTGTTACTGCTGTGATCAGTTGCTCTTTTAATGAACTGCTAATTGTCTTCACCAATTTACTATAACTATTTATTTATTTTTTTTGAAAAGTAGCATTCCCATTTCCCAATTATAGTGTTAAATTACTGAGCTTAGACATTTAAGGTTAAATGTATAGGACTGGATTCAAAAATGCCGTTTCAGGAGTGGGAAGATTTTTTTCCCAACATTAGGATAAGATTAGTGCAGGACATTGCACAATTTGTTGCTCAAGACGCATACTTGTATTAAATCAATGTTATGTTTATAAAAGTTCTGACATTTCTGTGATAATTTTCTGAACAGTATCACTACTGGAATGTCTTCTGCTTGAATATCCTTGGATTTAGCTTAGTAGTTCTTATAAAAGGAACTTGTTTAATTATCTCCCCTTCAATGTGGGTAACTTACAGGTGAGTTAAACTAAAACAGCAGAAAGCACATATAAGAATTTGGGGAGGAGATGGAACCAAGCAAACGAACAATAAAAATCCTTCAAAACTAGTGAAACTGTAAAGCTGCTGGCAACTTCACAGTAAATATAGTACAATGCCATCCAGATGTTGCCTAGAGCATAAGAATTGATGCATGTTTAATGAAACTGTCTTTTGGATATTTTAGTCCCAGTCCACTGAGTGTTTTAAGCGTACTATTAGCAACCTGAATTGGGCACAGAAACAAATTAGTATCCAATACAGCTGGAATAGTATAAGAATAATACGTTCACTGCAGGAAATGTTGTTAAAAGATTGTCTTTTTTTCTTCCTTTTTTAACAGAACACAGTTTCTAAACTGAGAACTGTACAAAGACAGCCCCAGTGAGACTATATTGTAATAGTCCTGGCTGGATGTTATTACAATGTGAATAAGTATAGCCAAGTCTGTCTGCACCATAGCTGGCATGCCACCCTAAGCTGGGAAGCCTCACCCCTATCTACTGCAGTCTTCTCAACATCCAGAAACATCAGATTCAGGAGGCCTTCAACCAGCCAGATTAGTTTTTGGAAACAAAGCACCCACCTCCAGAATAAGCTATACATATTTTCCTGGATCAGTCGTTCCCCAAAGCAACAGTACAACATATTACTTGGATTACATTTCAATTTCTCAACTCTCATCTGATTTATCATTGATTTCACTGATCCATAGCCTCAACTACATCCCCAGAATTTAATGAAAAGGAAGACAGAGCTGCTTGATTTACTCTAAACTGTCTACCAAATGTTGCCAGGCTGGTAATTTACCAGAATCTTAAATAGAAGAGATAGCTAGTAAGAGAGAAATAAGGACAGAAGAGCTAGAATTCCAGAAACAAACAGCCCATGGGTGCACATTTGAAGTACATTAAGACAGAAACCTAAGGGAGGAAATTCCAAAAACCCAGCCTCCTCTGAACCGTTATGTAACATCCTCCATATGCTGGAATTATTAGCAGAACTATTTGAGCAGAAAATACAAGGAAAGAGATAGATATTCAGCAATATTTGAAATGGAAAGAATACATATATCTTAAACCTTGACAGATAATTATAGGATATTCTTGTTACTTCAAGTAAGGCATTCCATTTTTATCAGTTTCAGTAATTATAATATTACCAATAGAAGCGAATATGTGTAGCTCAGGGTTGAAATGTGGAGTCCTTGGGGTTCTCTGAGCTCGGTTGCTTTCTTGCAAACATTTCGTTACCCAACTAGGTAACATCTTCAGTGGTAGAATGGAGTGGGGTTTGCTCTCTGTTTATATGCAGTAGCTTGCCCTGCTCTCTGTTTATATGCCAGTAGCTTGACAGTGTTGGTGGGGATGGTTCCCCCCCCTTTGTAGTTCCTTGATTAGGGTATTGTTAACTGCCTGATTGTTTGTCTGATGTTAATCTTGGTGTTAATCTCTGCTTATCTGGGTGATGATTGCTGGCGGGGAGATGTTCTGGGAAACTGTCAGTATCTTAGACCAAGCTAAATCCCAAAATGCAAGGGAATTCTTGGAAGCTTGGTATTCAGACAAGTCAGCCATCAACAGGCACACAGAGATAAACAACATCTACACGGAATTCTTGGAAGCTTGGTATTCAGACAAGTCAGCCATCAACAGGCACACAGAGATAAACAACATCTACACGGAATTCTTGGAAGCTTGGTATTCAGACAAGTCAGCCATCAACAGGCACACAGAGATAAACAACATCTACACACTATTCAAAAGAGGCAATAAAAAGGAAACAAAAGACCAGAACTTTATATCTGATTATATCTCAGGTATTGTTTCCAAAGCAAGAACAAGCAAGAACAGCACAGAAAAAGTAATTATTAAGTGGGGCCGAAGTGGGGGGTTGGTGCCTTTGACTCCATGTTGACTCCCAACAAATGTCTGGACTAGTCCCTGCAGTTTTCTTGACAAGATTTTCAGGAGTGGTTTGCTATTGCCTCTTTCCTAGAGCTGAGAGGGAATGACTAGCCCAAGGTCACCCAGCTGATTTTGTGCCTGAAGTGGGACTAGAACTCACAGTCTCCTAGTTTCTAGCCTGATGCTTTTAATAACTACACCAAAGGTAAGCAGGTAGTTATAGACTATTGTTGTAACCAGCCAAGAATGGAAGGTCCTACAATCTTTAAGTCAGTGCTGTTTCTCCACCACAAAGCTAGAACTGTTAATCCCCAGTCTTGCCATTCAAGTTTATTGCACAGGACTCCTTTGCAACAAAGGCTGAGAGGTCAGATAGGGACTAGTCATGCTGGGGAAAATATTAACTCAGTGCAATATTATCCTGATCCACAATCATTTTTCTAAGCTAGTTCATTCAAGATCTTAAAGACTGTTTTGCCAGACCTTATGCAACAAACACATCTCTTGCATTACATCAGAGAGCTAAGTGTTGTTCTTAAACATCTAGCCTTTGGGTAATGGCAATGTGTGTCTGATTGCTATTTTTATGTCATGGGCAGGCTGCCAATAAAGAAAGTTGCTCTTCCTTTCTCCAATATAATAGCATCTCCAACGGCATTCCTCACTCTTTTGCCTGAATTTAAAAAAGGATAGTGAGTGACATGGAATTATACACTAGTAACCATTTCTGTTCCTAGTTTGTGGGTGTTTGGGTTGATCATTATTTTTTTGTTTGTAGTATTTATACCACACCACATATCCATAGGATTCTTAGTGGTTCCACTAAAATACAAATGTTGAAAGCATCTACAATCCAACAATGCCAAACATGAGGCACACAAACCAAAAACACCCAGGAACAATTCAGAAAGACCATACAAAAACACCTCATCATGCCCCAAACGCCCTCCAGAAGAGCTCTGTCTTCAACTGCTTCCAGAAGGCAGCTAAAGCCAGGACTAATCTAACCCCATTAGTAAGTTACAACAGCTTCTAGGCATCCAATCACTAGTGTGTCAAAATAATAGTAATGAAGACTAGGGTTTTTTTCTTTTTGCCTTAATGACAGTTGGGTGACTAGAAGATGCTTTAAGTCACTAGTAAAGCTCCTACCTATATTTGGGGTCATTAAGAATGTTTCCCAACCACCCTAATTAGCTGGCGATTTTAGTTCTTCCTTGATGCTTGAGTTCCTCACCTGAATTATATGGAGATTTTCCTTTGCATCTTAATCAATATGTCTGTTTTATTTATCACCATAGTGTCATCAAGATATGGGATAAATGTATGGTTCTAATTTATAGTAAAGTTTGAATTAGAAGATTTTTCTTTCAGCGATTGGAATTTGATGACTTGATTACTGATATGTAACACTGCTATATAACAAAGTTCCTTTGTTCTCTTCTTCAAAAGTAATTCTCTTCTTGGAGTTACAAAGAGAATTCACTAAACGTTGCTTCTTCTGCCAGATCTTCTGTCATATATCTATGTCATACTGCTTATATCTGGAAGCTGGGAGAGAAGTTTAGTATCCCAGGTTCACCTTCCTGTTTGGGCTTTGCAGACAAATAGATTTTTATAAATAAGCAGTCGATTCCAAGTCCAGTCATTCCAGGCTACTCCATATCACACACTCACCTACACACCAGTTCTGAAGATAGACTCTAGTGTTTTACTGCAGTCTCTCTCTGCAGTGTCTCCAATCCCCCCAGATTTCTTTAACTAACAGGCCAATTTGGGAACTTATAATTTTGGTCTCACCTATCAAATTATAATCTGTTACTACAGGGACATATGAATACTGTTAGCAATAGCATTGAATTACAAACAAGCTATCGGATTTCAGATCAAACTAATCCATACCAGGAAGAGTTCTGCTTTTTTCTAGAAAGCACACTACACATAATTCTAAACATTGGGGTTAATCTTTTGACAGCCAAGCCTTCACAGAATTGTCCTCTCTTTCTCTTAATCACAAATATGCTTATTTTATATCAAAACGTTTGCTAGTATTGCTATATCACTAGTATTGATAAACAAGGAACAATACCAGTAATATGACAGAACATAGCTAATCATGCCATATAATGGACTGTAGTTAACACTTTAGTTTAAAAAAATAGTTTAAGAAAGTTCATTTGCTGCAAAGTTAAATCACAGCATGAAGCTAACTGGGACATATTTTCTGTATTCCAGACAGATTCTCAACAATCCTCTTGATCAACATTATTCTCATCCTGCTAACTCAGAATTCAGGTTTGGTTACAATATTCCAGCTTTATAGGAGTACTGTAACCAAAACATGGGGTTTCTAGGAAATTACAGGATTTTATACCATGTACGAACTTCAGAGGCCAACAGCTTTGCCTGTAAAGAGGATTTCCTGGAATCATCCAGATGTTTATCCCACTTACGCTTAAAGGATTCTAAGGATTATTTATCTTATTTAATCGAAAATGTGAAGTCAAATCTGAAATACTTATTTTCCCAAAAGTTACTTCAAATGCTTCAGAAATGTAAGGATACTTTGTCATTTCAGGAACTCTCAAGGAACTAAGCAGTTATTGTGGACTACAATTAGCACCAAGGAAAAGTTTCTGGGAGTACCAGGATTTGAAAGAAGATCACCATACTTCACTCTTTTAAAGCTTATATCTGGATTGCTAGAATCTGGGTAGAGGGGGAGTAACTCTTATAATGTATGTCTTCTTCTTTTGAGAGCTTTCCTGGTCCTTAGCATAATACATACAATAAGCACTGCAGTTCCAAAATACCCCATAGTTTAAATCTGGCAACAACCCTGCTCTCTAGGCTTTGAGGGAAGTTGGAGACACCTACCTCATCTCAGACAGGGCAAAGCTGGTAGCTCATTCAAAATCTACTGCTCAGTTGCTTCCAGGGCTGTTCTGAATATCTCTTTCAGCTAGGTTATGCTGGATATGTTTGTCTTTTCCAAAGGATTAGTTTGCTGTTTCAGTGCTTAAACAAGGACCAGTGATGTCACAATGAAATGTGATCCCCTGGACCCAGCCTTCACCAAACTCCCCCCACATATACACACCCACAACTATGAAAACTTGCCTGATTTGCCACTAAATTTGCTTGTATGCTGAATAGCCACAAGTGAACCCCAGCAGCTGCCTCCCTCTCAATTCCACTGAGCAACTACAGTTGTAATTAGACACCTTGCTCACTGCCTGTTTTGGAAGTAGCCTCTTGAAGGAAAAGAAGCCCCAATTTCTAATGAGTAGTATAAAATGGAACTCAACATCTCTAAAATATATCTTGTGATATATTTATATTTTGCCTAAACTGCCAAAGCAGGAAGCACCCAGCTATTCCTGGTGTGCCTCTCCAGATCTGTGGGAAGAAAGCTCATATTTATAGAAACAATAGCGGGATAAAGCAGTGTCAGATGGCCTGATAATAGTGCTATTATTTCCAAACAGTATTCTTAGTTTCTCTTCATTTGCACCCTACCTTTAGACGTACAATCTATTTTATGAAAGCAAAATACCTTGGAAAATGTATACAATGTTTAAAACCCTGCATCTAAAACTATAGTATTAAAATAAGCATGCCCTAATTCAGGTCCCATCACCATTTTTTTAACCTAAGCAGCATAAAGCAAAACAAAAACTGTACTCTGGAAAATATGAGAGCAGGAGAAAAATCCACAACTGACTCTTTTTAGAATACCAAGAATGCAAAAAGAGTAAAGGCAGCAGTGTTGCCATGATTAGCAACACCAATAACAAATCAAAATCCGTATTAAACCAATGCCTTTAGGAGGCTAACAAAAGGTTTAGAAAACAGCATGCAAGCTTTTGAGTTTTCCAAAACTCTTCATCAGGCAAGATAGTTACAAATCTAGAAAAAAATGGGGGTGGGGGGGGGTGGGGGGAGAATGAAGCCATTGTCGAGCCCTGCCTATATTAAGCTATATTCTTAGGTGGATGAATGGAGTAATCTTCTGGAATGTTAATATTCACTTTAGGTTTCATAAAAAATTGTTAGAAGAAGAAATAAGGAAATGATTGATGGCCCTCTTTTAGAAATATACATGCCTACAGATACTAGCATGCTTTTCCTTTTGGGATAAGCAATGTATGCAAAGAACAGGAAGGGTGAAGAGTGTAAGAAACATTAAGCCAAAAAAATTAAAAGTGTGAGATAAAAAAAGGAAGTAAATCTAGTTTATACTAAGACCATTTATTATACCTCTCTGTACTTTTATATTCTTGCAAACCATTCTTGCTTTCATCACATCTATGCAATACTTCATACCCTGCCTTTTGTTCTCCAAATTTCTCACATCATTCTTTCAGAGGATCTCATCAACTCTGTAGTATTTTCAAGCCTCCCCTTTTTCTGGAACTATTCACTCTTCCTTCATATATTTGTTTTACAGTTCAGTCCTAATCATTCTCTCTGTGTGACCAAACCACTTGAATGGGCTTCTTACGTACAGTAGTCACCACTCATTCACGTTTGCATTCAAGCCACACTCTTTCATTCTTGGCCCTTTTTGTTTTACCACGCACACTTCCTGCTGCCTTCAGTTTACTTTTAAGTTTCTCTTG